CGTCAACACTGAAAGCCCGAAAAAGAAAATCTTTTCATTTTGAAAATGTGCTAGATGCAAATGGATTCCGTAGCAACCTCTTAACTCCAAGCATAAACAGCAGTCTGACTGAAGGGTAGGAAACACCTCCTATGCCTTTAACCATCAAAAGGAATCATCCAATCTAATTTATTCATCTCAGCCCCTGTTGCAGTCAGAACAAGTGGCACCTCTAGCAGCAACTCATGAATTACCATGAGAAGTARGTATCTTCCTCTTGCCTCTAGTGTGCCTTCATTAAACTTTTTGCCAGTTGAATATTGCTGCTAGCTTCTGACCATCACACTCATGAAGTAATTGGGATTTTAACCTCTGGTTCTTGTGTGTTATTTCTCACACATTAGAAGTTTCATGTCTGTTAATCTTTAAACATACAGATCTTGCCTTTTCAAATGGTTTACATCTTAAAACTTTTCACAGTTATCCAATAGCCCGAGAAAAGGGCTGAAATGCAGAAGCTAATTTTGATTTTGTCACTGACAAGCTGYGTGTAGCCTTGGGGCTAGGCTGTCTTCTTGCAGCCTGCTCCCAGACAGAGGRAAGATGTAGTTGCACAGCTCTCAGCAGCAAAATAAGGACCAAACTGTGACTCATTGTCACATTTCTATTTGACTCCTGCTTCCCTGTTGCTCCACTGGGGAAATAAGTTGTGGCAGACAAACAGCTGGCACAGAAACYTTGTCTTTCTCCTCTCCTCACCTCCCTGGATTAGATCAGTGCACAGTCTCCAGAGCATTTCAGCAAGCAGAGCTGAGTCTCTGTTCATTCTTCCCTGYGTGGGAGGATAAAGTGTCAGGGGACGGCCATCAACCTTGTGCTGTGACCTGCAGGAGATTGGACTAAAAAGACCAACTACAGGGCTGCTGCTGGAGCTATTGTGCACATGCAGATGAAGCTGTACATTGGGAGAAGCCATTTCTCTGAGGGGTCAGGCTTTTCTGTTCATATTTCAGCAGTGGCAGCTTTGATTAACTCTGCCATTGAGTCCAGTCCGACCCCTGTGTTCATAAATGCAGTGAAGTAGCTCAGAGACCAATGGATTTCATGGTAATGTCTTGAATGGACCACTGTAAATATCCTGGCCTCTACAAGAGAACTCAGTTACTGCTTAAATGCAATAATAACAAGAATTAGTATTCACTGTTATAATACTACTAATGCTAGTATTAGATACTGAGTATTGCAACAATAGAGTATTTAGTCTCTGTAATATTTTTTTATACAGTTTGAAGGACTTCTACTTTTTAATAGTACATTTCTGTGATTGCAATGACACGCAATATGAGAACKCTGAAGATAATCCTTTGGAATCTTCTCCTTAATACTTGACAGCCAGAGACATAGGTCCTGCCAACTTTCTAAGGACATTTATAAATTGCTGTCTTCAGAGATCTCATTTTGTCTTTCACAGTGTACATTTCATCAGTCTTTCCGCAACTAACAATTTGTAGCTGTGGAAAAGAGTAAGTAGCACATATGGCTCACGATGTCATTGCTTATTGGCTGCATTTTAAAGTAATTTAGTCTCATTGTTATTGCCACAATGATGACCTGAAAGAGCTCCCCATCGTCCCTGCTCCTCTGTCTCTGGATAGATCACTGTCCTGACACATGCTGAGATGTACCCCAAAAGGCAAGGAGCCCAAGAGTCTGGCTGTGTGACTGACAATGRAAAAAAAAAAAAAAAAAAAAAGTTATGAATACCTATCAAAAGGAATAAGTGGTTTAGTCTTAACAAAGTCCTGAAGTGCCCAGAAAATCATGGTCTAGGGGTAGTATGGAAAAAAAAAAAACAACCAAAAAACCCTAGAAAAATTAAATTTTGTTTATGCAAACTATATGTTGCTAAAGTTTCTATCTAAACTTTCAGGCTGTGAGTGCCAGTACTAGCCCCAGAGGAAAATAAACTGCAGTGAAATATTAGCTCCAGGCTGAATTCTTACTTTTTTTGCCATAAATAAAATTTCCATCTTGTGGATACAGAGTTTAAAAATCAGTCAGTCAACATAAGTGCATTCCAAGTACACGAAAGCAAAATAAAACTAAGCTAAACTAAGCTAAACTAATTAYATAGTTTATTTCCCTGCCATGTGGAAGGTCAGCTTACTGGGGAGCTGATGSCCCTTTATCATCTACTTCTATGCTTTGCACAAAAAACCCCACAGAAGACTCACRCTGTTACAGATAAGGAACTCCTGTAAAAACACTATAGAGGCACAAAAAAAAAAAAAAATTCAGAAACTATGTTTTCTTTCATTCTAGGGTCTTTTATTTCATTCCTGAGTCTTTTATTTTCTTCAAGAAACCAAATGTCTGAAAAGTCACTTCCAGACTGATTGAAAAGCCTTTTATTTGTGCTATTAATTTTTGACTAAAAATCTCACTGATTTCATTACTTCACTGATTTCCCTGATATCAGCTAGGAAATAAACAATGTTTCCAACAAACCTAATTGAGAATATCTGAACAAACCAGCGTTAGCATTTGGGTTAGGGCTGTCAGGCTGAGCCACCTGTTTTGGCAGCATTTGCAGCCAGAAGTAAATTATAGATCCGTCCAACTGCTGATTAAAAAATCCCATTGCCTCCCTGCTGTGGCTAACCAGACAGCAAGCAAGGATCCTAATACTCAACACAGTCCTAACACCAACCCTTTGGAAGGAAGGGGGTCACTTTCTAATAGCACTTAATGCAGATCCTCTTACAAGTATGAACAATAAAAAACAGAAGATGAAAACTTCATCTTTCATCCACTGAAACACAACATAAGAAGCAGAGAACTGCTTCTTCTGTTCTGCTTTGAGAAGCAGAACAAAAATAACTTTCAAAAGACTGTTTGAAAGCATATTCTTTTATATTTTCGTCATTATTATATTTTTGTCATTATTAGATTCAGATAAACACTGGGAAAAAAAAGTTGGAATGAAATTCAACTAAAACATTCAGTATTAAAGGGGGCTGCATTTTAAACATATCTCCTGTYGGAGTGCAGTTGATAAAATATTGTTATGCATCTAAAATGTTATTTAAATATGAATAGTCAGGAAATATTAAAGTACATGAAACATTCATATTTTAGAATATATATTTATTGTTTAATACAATTGCCTTCCATTCTTGCAGGCCAAGTTCTGGCATGTATATTTCAGCCCAATTTTCACTGACTCCTTTAGAGGTCTACCAAGGATTGCAGAGGTTGTTTTTTTACATTTTACCCTTCAGTAACTTCATGCACAGTTAGAAAATATTCTGTGAGCTCCCTACAGAAAAATCAGCGCCAACAAASCAAGCTATTCTGACTCCAGCAAACCTCTGTTTATAAGGGACTACCAAAGCTTCTTCTGAGCAAAGGCTTGAGAGTAGAACACCCTGAATTGCAGACATTTCCTTCTTGTATCACTCTAATGAAGCTGCCTAAAAAATGGTGTTCTGAAAACCAAACTAGGGATATTTTTAGAGGTGGACAGACAACTTGCTTCAGTAACAAAAAAAAAAAAAGTTCTGAAAACCAAACTAGGGATATTTTTAGAGGTGGACAGACAACTTGCTTCAGTAACAAAAAAAAAAACTCAGGCTACAGGAGTGAAAAAGTGAAAAATAGAAAAAACAGAAAAGAAAAGAAAGAAAGAAAAATAAAAATAATTCCACTAAACAAAATTAAATGATCCTGGAGTGAAAGCATTATTTGCTAAGAACAACAATTCATTTTGGCATGCCAGTTCAATTATACTGTTAAAGTACATATATTATATAAAGCATATAATTTTTGGTTAATTATATTTGAAAATAGTTACTATACCTTCTGCTGTTATCTCGGCCATGGTGATGGTAAGAGATACTCTGTTTAAAAGGTCAAGATCTACTGTGGCAGCTTAGATAGTACTTCGGGGTTGCTGACTCTTGCAGGAGCTGCAGAATAAGAAGGAGGGAGGTCCTCTGCTTTGTCTAATTGTGCTCCTTCTTCTTTTGCACCCCTGAAATGTCTGTTTCCTCTGCAGAATCCTGGCCGCCCAGAGCAACCCAAGGCCTTCCAGAGGCAACACGTAAAGCTCARTCTAAAGTATCAGCTTCTAACAAAAATAGCCATGCCTCAGAGTGAACCTTTAGCACGTTTTTCCTAATGTCCCCAGAACCATGTACACCACAAATAAAAAGTAAAATTACACAGCTCTAAACAGGTCAGGAATGAGTGGATAGGCAACAAAAATCAAAAGAGCTGGGAAAGAACTGTTCAATGCTCCTACAGCCGTGCTAACATAATTGCAGTTCTTTGGGGGGTATGTCAGGAAACATGAAATATAGAGTTCAAAGTAACCTTATCCATCCCAGTACAACTTTATTCTTAGCACACTCAGTGCTTAGCACATTCTTCCTAACCTTATAAGGCTTGGGGAGGGTCCTMTGAAGCTCACCACTGACTWAGGGGGAGGGTAAATTTAGGTGATTTTCTCCACGTCGACACCCAGTCACAGTTCAGAACTAATTAACACACTAATTTAAACCTATGAAATTAGTTTGCTTTTCTTTGGTCCTCTTCTGATTTGCTGCAATTATCATACATGACTGTGAAATTCATCTAAGTAACATGGTTAAAAATTTAAATAATGGTAGTTTATATAGTCTAGATACATTAAAGTAATATGCAAAAATATTAAGTAGATCAGATTTGCTTTTCTGGATCAGCTACAGGGAAATATTCAAGTAGCTTGAAAATTCTGGGATTTTGAAAAAATTGAAAACTGGTCAATTCTTAAAAGCATTTAGAAGAAGCAAAATATTAAAAAATAAAATAACAATAATTATTTTAAAGCCTGAGCAATCTTTTCATTGCACTGCTTGCAATGTGGTGAATAGCTTGAAAATGAAATTAGAAAAAAAGTGCCCTCAAGTCAGCATACCTTTACATAAATGTCATCRTCACATGAAATCAGAAACCATCTTAAACAGCTCTCACTGGTGAACCTATAGTCACCTTGTCTCTGCTGCAGGAGTTGGCATTTACACTTCTCATCTTCCCCCAGGAGATATAAGCACCTGGCTCTGTAGCAGTGTGGGGAAAGGAATCAATTTATCCAATGCACAAGATGCAAAAGCAAAGGTTCACTGAACAGCACAGTCACCACCAGGATTTTTCTCTTCCCTCTACATTTAACGCGCATCAAACCTGCAAATGTCTGRCAATGTTGTTTTTTTTCTAGCCAAAGCTTGCAGTCAGTGCTTGATCCCCTTTCTTTAGCTCTACTGACCAAATCTTTTGCTCTGACAAGTTTTGATTACTTGATGCTAAGTACTCAGTGCTTTTCTGATCATCCCTCTAAYCCTCTGTTTGCTCCTTTTGCCTGTTCTTCAGTACATCCTCCTCACTAAAGCTGATGAAGAGATTTTAGACAAAACCTTATTCCTTCAAAAATATTCTTTTATGAATACCAAAATAGTCCGAGGAGTCACATTCACATATCAACAAAACAGCTRTCCACAAAGGCTCAGTGGTTGGTGAATGATGATAGAAGGTATGATACTTAGACAAAACCCTTGCTCCTCTTAATTATTTCTCTTCTGCTGGAGAAGTTCCATTTCCATRAACAGTTAAATATTTGGGGTCATCTCTGTTTTGACAGCTTTGCTGCTTGCTTGAGATGTGAGAGAGATCACCTCAGCTGAATTCCCGAAGCACAGAGCTAATCAATCCTGCAAAGTCAGGGTTATTTTCACTCGTATTCTTATTCAAATTTAATATAATAGTAAAGTCTCAGATTGAGAATGAGGGGAGGCAGAAATGGGGAATAATTAATGTCTGAATATTTTCTTGTTTTATGTAGCAAGATCCTGAAATTGTGGCCTACACCCAGCCATATGTGTTTGTATAACTAACTGTAGGTGCATGATKGCCTGTTCCTCACCACTTTACATTTCAGCTCCTACCACCTGCCCTCTTTCCTTCACCCCTTACTTCCTTGCTACTATTTCTGCTTCCCCTCAGTCATGGGCAGTTATTCTGAAACCAAAACATAACAGCAGAGGAACTGAGAGAATCCAACTGGAAAACAATTTTCCACAGCATCAGCCCAATGGCCAGAAAGAGATGTGATTGGTACCCTCTGCATTCCTTTTATGCACAAAATGATCATTCTGGGAAGCAGGATAAAGATGTCATATTCACCAATATCTTACATATATAAGTGTGGCTTTAGGCATACTTATATATGTGTGTATTGGAAGTTTCTCCCYTTAAGGAGGAAAAGGTGTGTGTCATATTTACTAGAGATAATCACAGCTTCGGTGAAAATACACAGAACTAAGGTAAACCAAGTTACATGTCTGTGTAKGTACATTTAATCTGAAAAATAAACATTGCCATCTATTATAAATTATAAAAAATGTAATATTTATTYTTTAGGAGTCTAAGCAAGGGAAACTCTGAAAATTGTTTTAGGGTTAATGAGAATTTTTGTCAAAATCTGAAATTAGCTCCTGACTCAGTTTAGGAGCTTCTTTTAAATTAATCAGTGAAACTCACAGTATGCAGAAAGCCAGAGAAAAACCTATACATCTCTTCATGCAACAACGCAAATATTTTTTCCTGGCCTAGTTTRGTGAAAATTACTTTTTAGTGGGAGTCTTTTCTATCTAACCTGACCAGAAATAGTCTTTTGCAAGATGTTCTTTCTTTTTGTTTGTCCCTCAAACAAGAAGAAAATTGAAAAATCTAAAACTGCTTTGGTTCTTGCAAGCGATGTCTAAAACTGGACACATAAAAGTTCACCACAATTTCTTCTGTTTTATGTCTTGGCCACAAAGAGAAAATTCTCCTGCGTCAAGTTAGCATTAGACATTCCCCTCCCACTCACAAGGACTACATGGTAAAGGATCTGTCCTGAGATCAGTTCTCACGTTTAGTCATGGGAAGGACTGGAGGAAAATGTAGAAGCATCTACACCCTCATACAATGGTTCAGATACACGAGTCTGAGTTAGACAAAATAAAATTACAGTTCTCTTTGCTCTACAGTTGCCTGGATAGGGAGACCAGTAACAGTCTTAGGAAGAAGGGAGAAGGATGCACTACATGCTGCTATTAATATCTTCATGTAACCACATGCCTTGATCTCAGATGATGTGTATTTCACTGAGAATCCTAACTGATGAAGCAAAGTAAAGCATTTTTTTTTCTGTTTGTTTGTTTGTTTGTTTGTTTGTTTTTTTAAGGAAAATGTCCAAGGTTTGCTATTTGTCAGATTCTAATGCAAACTCCCGTTTATTGGTGAAAAGTTTGGTTGTTCATATAATCAAAGTAGGAATATACAAATACTTTATGAGCTCATTTCTGGGTTGTCTTGTCTTGATGATATTAAGAAGGGAATTGGGAGAGACAGCAGTTCACATTAAATTATGAGGTAATGAGAGGAGGGATTTTGATACTGATATAAGGAAGTATTGGAGGAATTGAATGCAAGTGTCAGTCAGCAAGAAAACTCAGAACAATATTTGAGTTGTCTCCTAATAGGGTACAGATGAATTCTCAGAGTTCAGTCCTACTGAGAATTAAACAATGCATAAGAAAGGAGTTTTGTATCTCATTGCATTTTCAGCAGRGTTAAGGAAAGGAAACTTGACTTTAACTCTGATACATCTGATGAAGTCCTTGCACCAGATGGGAGTACTTTGTCACGAGAAACACCCAGTAATCAACTGATAAGAACTAAATATACGATGAAAGTATAATGCCAAGGGAGAGTCAATGGTACTGAAATTAGTGAATAAAAAATGATACTCAAATTAGTGAAGACGTATGCAGAAGCAAATATAGGATTAGAGTGATGTCTGTCTACTGAGCTTTGATATGCTTATGAAGCTGGTTTCCTCTGAAACAGACTTGTACTTTTTATGCTATTTTTGTATAGGAATACTGTTACTTACAGATGAACCACTGGCAATTCTGTGTTTTTCAGTATGAATAGGAACACACATTCTGGTGTCTTTGAAGTCCTAATCAGCCAAAGATGGAGTTGTGACTCTTTATGGACCATTAGACAACTCTCAAGTAATTTTTTTTCCATTTGTGATTTATATTTCGTAATTAACAGTTGCAAGATTTTTGGAATCAACATGACCAAAATATAGACATATTCTGGATATTCTAAAGCACATCCAAAATGCAAAACAAAGCAAGACCTCAGTATCACATCTGATCTAGGTTAAATCTTGGTACATATCTTTCTAGCTATTCTCATAAGTCAATGGGCACCATTTTTCAATTAGAGAATTGCTTGCACAGTGCTGTTAAACAAGTTTTTGTTTAGTCTGTAAGAGACAGTAGGTTAAACTCCATAGTAGACCTGTCCTACATTTAATGTGAACAACRGACAGAGAAGAAACTCTGTCCCTGTAGGCACACTGCTCCGAATGCAAATCAACCTCTGCCTGGGGACAGCTGACAAACACGCTGGGGTCACCTCACCTTGGCACTCTGAGCTCACTAAAGGACATTTCCAAAGCTTTATGATAGAAGCACAGCAGGTAAAAAAAAATACCTATGATAGTGACTATTCTGCTTGACTATGGACAATACACCTACTAATCATTGTATTGCAAAACTRCTGAAGTAGCCTCAATCTGGGTGTGTGACTGAATAAAGAACAATTTCTAACATCCAAGAAGGTCAACTGATTATAAAACTCCTTCCAGGAAACAAGAACATCCCATTTAGTCTTCTTGCAAGCTGGCCAAGTAGACAATCCATGGAGGGAAATCAGCTAACACGACCCGAGACATAAGAGAGTTGGGTGTTTTCAGTTTTCTCTGCTTTAACTATACAAAGTATTACTCTCAGCGAGGTTAAGGGAGAACATTTATTGCAGCATGTCAAGGTAGACTGTATTTGGATGACCTTTAGCAGCTCCCTGTTACATACTTTTCCTTTGATTACTCCTGCCATTCTTAATGAGCATTGCTTTATTAGCATATAGTGACTTTACTGTCACATCTAGAAAATTACTCAGAAGCTGTTTCACAGACAAGACAACTTCCATGACAGTGAGAAAGGAATATCTGGAGCTGGTCCTTTTTAAGGAACAATGACAAAAAGTACACTTTAATTGTCTTTTTCTTCAGAACGATTTGTATCCAAGCTTGACCATGCACAGAACATAGATATTTGCCAAACAATTATTAGAGATGGGCATTGGCTCTGACACAACATTAATTATGCCTGTCAAATACTGATTGAGATCTGTTCAAATATACCACAGTACTTGGTGTGCTGACTGGTCAAAAATGTCCTTGCAAAGCACTGTGACTTAAGTTCTGATGACTTTCCTTGAGAACTGGAATTTTCTAAAAAAAAAATTCATTGATTTTTTTTTTTTTTTAAAAAAATATTTGAAAGCAAGTTTCTATACTGAAAGAACAAGGCTCAGAAATTTATCACACAAAAGTACATAGAAAAATAGTAAAATTGTTTCTAAATTTCAAATTTCAATCTCAGCTCCAAATTTCCACCAATAGATTTTGAATTTTTCTTCAGCTCTTAGCTTTATGAAAACTTTCAATGGAAATCAACATATAGTAGGTTGGTTTTTTTTTTTTTTTTCCCAGTCATGACCATAGTTGAGCACAAAAACAGATGGAAAGAAAGACAATTTTGAACAAAAGTTTGATGTGAAAAGGCTAATATATGTTTTCATTCCAAGTACTTGGGGAAAAAAATATGGGGTAAAACTAAGTATCAAGTATCTTCAACAATGTGAACCSTTTTTGGGAGGTTTGAAGCCATCTACTCAGTCTGACCTTCACAACCAAGGGGAAATCTCATCTTCTTTTCCATTTCATAGCTTATTCTTCTGCTTGAAATATTACATTATGTACCACTTCTTAGACACTCAGGCTAGACTGGACCTCCCCTAGTCACTTTAGCAAAGAGTTTGCAGACAGAGTCTGCCTCCTATGTTTTGTGTTTGTTGGAATTTTTTTTTAATATCAGGTTTTTCTTCAATTCCCAGGTGCCTGTTTGACCTGGGACATTAGGACCTGCTTGAGTTATACATTTCCACAGATATGATAGATATCRACTCCTGGCAGTGGATAAATCATTTTTCTAAATACTGAAATACAAAAGCCTGCAGATGAATTAACTCTTTATGTGCCACAGTCACCCATCCAGCAGTGCACAAACCTATGATTCAAAATGTTTAAGGAAAAAGTGAATCTGTTATTTTTCACAAATATACAGAGAGATAAAAAGGAGAAAAAATGTCAACCAGACAAAGTATTTCAGCAATTTTCAGCTATAAGAAAGAAATTACATGAATGCAACAAAATTTATTTTAAAAAGTTTGTTTCTACAATTATAATTTTTCTTTGTGTTTCCTCTTTCTTTCTCCTACATTCTAGTCACAGTCTTGGATGGATCAAAGCTAGAATTGTAGATGAAGAACCCACTTTATTATTATTATTATCACTATTTAAAAAGAAAATCTAATCTGGGAGCTTTTTCATTAGGCAATTTAGCTTCTTTACAGAGTAGAAGTGGAAGACATGAATTAGGAAATTCAACGTCGTCAGTGATGACAGCTGTGACTGCACTGTAAAAAGTGTGTCTAAAAATTAAAGGATCTTTTAAAAAGAAAAATAATTTTKAGCATTAATGTCTTTACAACTCATCATAGCGCACATATACTAATTTTCCTTCAATAGTACATCACCATTTGTCACTGTCAATCAATTTAGATTCCTGTCCAAGCTCCAACATATGGCCATAGTCAACTTCCTAATGCAAACCCTAAAGAATATTTGTCTGCAAARCATTTACTGAAAAGAATTGCTATGTCTTTCTTTCTCCTCTCCAGTCACCCTGAAAGAGCAGAACACAAATAGACCAAATGTACACTACTGCAATGATCCTTAAAAGACAGTTAAACCATTTCTTTTTCCAAATTCCCMCTTTAAATGAAAATAAAAGCATTACCCCAGAGGCACAAAGCAGAAGATCCTCAGCTGCGTCCCCAGAGCTCAGAAGGCAAGGCAAGGACATTGGGGACTTTWGGAAGGTCCCGGATGCATTCCCAGGGCCTGAGGGAAGCGTGCAGYGCTGGTACAGCTGGCACGGGCTGCAGCTGCCAAGGAGCTGTTGGCAGAGGTTCCCTGTGGGGTGAAGGGGCCAGGCAGCAGATCCCGCAGGGAAGCACGTCGGGCTCTTGTGCAACYGTAAAACAATCCAGCCTGGGACGCAAATGTGTTCTGGAGGAGCTGCCCTCCMCTATAAAGGTTTGTGTTGTGGKCTTAAAATTCRTAAGCTGCCTGTGAAGAGGATATTKGACWATGAAATCCCATGTYATATGCYTTGTACCTTAAAGATTTTAATCTCTGGTCAATCCTGCTTCTTCCCCCTTCCAGGAAAGTTCAGAGTTTTGCTCAAATTCATGCCAGGASAAAGGTTTTGTAAAGAAAATGTGTCCTGGATATTTGGTTTTGCTTCACCTAATAATGCTGCCTTATGATGAACAAGGAAAAACCATGTTTCTTGTTACTTAGGTAACAGGCAATTGAGAAAGSGGTTTTGGTTKTGTTGTTTTGTGGGCTTSTGCATTTTTTTTTTTTTTTTGCCTTAAGACAGGGAAGGTATCTAGGTTTTTATTCGATCTCTGAGGAAGGCAGATATAACAATACTTCTATTTCCTGCATTTCAGAGTAACGACAAAAAAATGTTATCTGTTCTACAAATAAGAACCAGAGCATGACAGTTGAGTGGAGCAAACCTTTGGTTCTGCCTCAGAAATAACAAAGGCCACACAACATCAGACACACAAACAGAGGACTGAAAGTACAATCGACCAGAACATGCACTTTTCACTCATCACCAAACTTGAGCTAATGTTCACAATCATGTTTGTGACCTGCATAYTGCAAAGAGGTGCCTGGGAGAAATGTGGGTGTTGCACAGCCCTGGGGGAGGTTATGCAGAGGCAGAAGATGGCAAGTAGTGAGTGATTCATGCCACGAGCAGAGTTCTGGTCCCAGTWCCCCTCTGCCACCTGACTTGGCAAACCTGCTCTGTAGATGACACATCCCACTTCCTTCACATCATTTGTCAAATGAGTCCTTCTTACTCCCATTCTCCTCACCAGTAAATTTCTTTTTTTAGTTAAAAACTCCCYAGCTTTTCATTTGTCACAGTAGTGCCCTGACAGCAACAGGCAAACACTTMTGGCAAACAAARTCCTAATGGTCTTTTTAAACCACTMAGAGTAAAGTTTCCTGTTTTCCACTCCATTCTAACACCAGTGGACTGAAACAGAAATTTACTCTTGCTCTTGTACTCCTAAAAGATTGACATCAGWGCATATTAGAAAGAGGAAGAAAAGCTCTTTTCCATTGTCTGAGTAKACAATGTTTATCACCTCTCTTACTGGAGTCAAGAAGTGTGGAGAATCAGGCACTTAAAGCAGGTGGTCTTGAAGTAAATTCATGTCTTGGATTGCCCAGGTGTTTTTTGAGAGGTTAATTTAAACACACCTGTCATTCTTAAGTACAAGGCAGTTGGAGTATATTAATATTCTGCTGAATTATTTAAAAGCTATGACTAATGCTTCGTGTACCATAAGACTGTTATCTGCAAAAATAACATCTGTGTCAGTGGTTGCTGAGCGGTTTGGATTTCATCACTCGCATCTATCAGCGTTTCTGAGTCCTTGGTATGAAAGATTCTGCCAGGTTACCATCTTTCCTTCACCTTCAGGTGTAAAACCCAACCTACATACTCCTTCATATTAACTGTTTTAATTAGGAATGAATAAGAGTAAAATTTGGAGTCTCCTTCCTGAGCAAAATCTCATAAACTTTCTGATAWACTAAAGAGTATGGAGTAGATCTCTTAGACTGCTGTGATATAAGCCTTCTCTCAAGAAAGTAGAAATTTTTTCTCAAGAAAGTACATATTTTTCTCCTGAGAAAGAGGAATATTATCTAATGCAATAGCTCAGGAAACTGAACTGAATACAATTTACTAACTAAAACAGAGTTCTCACAGTCCTGGGGTAATGGTATTTTATCCTCATAGGTATGAAACAATCTTCAGTTGCACACCAGAAATGAACCATCACTGAGAAGAAAAAAGAGCAAGTATTAAAATGCATGAAAAGTAAATTTTAGTACTTTAATTTGTGACACAATGTACCTTTCTCCCATGGTATATATCTGCTATCAGATGAAGAATATTTCGCTGTGTGAGTTATTTCTGATATTATCTGACTATTGGAAGAAGTTCACAAAGAAGTTTCTGCATTCTGCTGTGTCTAAATCAAACAGCACCAGCGCAGCAAACTGTGAGCCTCTTCAAAAGTGTGGCTGTCTCAGCTCCATCACACAGAAATCATTGTGAAGTACCAGAATATTTCAAAGAAAGTTCCTTTGTTATTATACCATGGACAGAAAAAGCTTTTTGTTAGCAGTTGATGCATTGCAGTAGGGGTTCTGGCACCAAAGAAACTCTTCCTCATGCMACTTGACCAATTAAAGGCCAATTTTCAGAGTTTTCAAAGTTCTCTTTTAAAGAAAGTGAGAATTAAAGGAAATTTCAAAACCAAAATGTGGATTATGTACTTTATTGCTTGCATGTTTGCATTACATATGTAATAAATAATTGTAAATGTAAGTATTTCATTGAAAGCATATATATATTATGATCATAATGAAAATCAATCATTTTATTAAGTCATTGAAAGTTTTGCAGTCACTTGATCGGTTTTCTTTCATCAAATGCACAGCATGGCTGAGAATTTGAGTAGGGTTATTGAAGGAATGTATGAATGAATGTATGAATGAATGAATGAATGAATGAATGAATAGCAGCCACACATTTGAAGGGTCCAGCCCTTTATTATTTGATCTTCTCAGTGTAAGAGGACATAACTGTTACATTTCTTTGCAAACCCTGTGGTCCCCTTTTAGTTACTTCTAAAGTAATCTTGCAGTACACTCCACAGAATTGAAACTTTATTCTCATAATTGAGAGCATAAAGAGATTGTCTCTAAGATTTTAGTTTAATTTTGTAAACATTTTTAGTTTGTTTTGTACTTCTTTGGAGTACTACAGACACACTGCACAAAATCCTGTMGTTCATTAATTTAATGTTATCTAGCAGTCTCACACAATAGTAGCAGCTTAGCTCATCATAGTCACAGGTTATGTAAACCCCAAGACTAAATACTGGAAAATCTTGGGACTCAAAGTGTTCCAGCAGGGGTCCAGATGTAAAGCTGTTCCAGCTTGAACAGTAGCAGTATTGTGGTCCCTGAGCCTAAACATGTTTGAAAGCAAGGTTCTACTGCTACAGCACGAGCTGGGGGAGGCACAGAGGACTGGTTATCTTGTTTTTTATACTTTGTGCTGACCTTCACCAGAGGAGGCATTAGACGTTAGTGTGCCTTTGGGACACTAAAATGATATGGATATGTCAAATAATTATGAACWAAAAGTTCTAATCCAAATACATGTGCTGGGCATGAGCACTGTTTTGTTCCAGGTTTTCAGATTAGGCAGCAATTTAGGTCCTCCAGTMTAAAGAGATCAAGTGCCTCATTTAAATGTATCTCTCTTAGTTGCTACAATTTTCACATTTCCATTAGCATAATTTCATTGTGCCACAGGCAAATAAAACCAAACATTAAGAAGTGAAATCTAAATGATTATTTAATAAACTTGTGCAAGAATCTGTAACCCAGTGTAACAAGTTTACACCTGTGATTGCCTRCTGTGTCTGTTGCTCAACACAAAAATAATATAGGGAGCATTAATCTGTCAGTATTAAAAAGAAATAAAACAGAACTATTAAAATGTACACTCATCATGAGAATTATAAATACTTTGACACATTTTTGCAAAAAAAACCCCACACTGAAATGCTATTTTTCAAATTACTAACATTGATTAATTCACCACTAAAAAGATTATTTGCATAATTTTTAGGATATGTAATTAACACAGTGATTTGTATGAACAATTTAGTCTTGAAAGAGTTTTTAAAGGTTCTCCTTTCAAATTAAATTGCTATTTTTACAGTCACAACCAGTAGGACAAAATTAAATACAAACACCTTCTTCTTTACGCTGTTCATACTTTTGTTACACAGAGAATAAGAGTGTATTTTGAGGCTGTTCAGAAGGAACCACTGGTGACAGAAATACTGTGCCTCAGTCTTCTGACAGCCACACRATGTAATGTCACTGAGATGGAGGAGTTCCAGTGCAATTTCAATTTTATTCATTGTTACAGCAGATAATGACTTCTCATATCTTATGACTTCTGAGAGAATTCGCATCATTTTTTAACTGTTCAATTCAGAAAAAAAGAATCAAATTTGGCTGCATGAAAAAGTGYTTAGAAAGTGTGAATGCCAAAATTCAAAATCAAAAGGACATCATGTACCAGTATATGCAAGGAAAAGATGGCACACACAGTATTCTCCTATCCTTCCTGACTCAAATCAGACAACAAAAATGTAGAATTTGAAAATATCTGTACTAAGCACCCACCTCTTATAAAATAACCTGGATTGGAGCCCTTGTGACTCCAATGGACTAAAGCAAGCTTGCAACAGAAGTCACCCACTTTCTTTGATTGCTGTGCAATTGTTACACTAATTTCACAAAGAGGGACCATTCTGAAGAATCTCCTAACAATAAAGGAAGAAAAGCTGACACATGAATTCATCACAGTATAAAACTACACTGTCTGGCCATACTTGCCAATGAAATATCAAAAGAACAGAAATAAAAGAAAGTATGCTTGATGTTAACAGACTTGTGTTTTTCTTCTACGCTTAGAAAAAACATTCTTCAGCCAAAATTTAATTAAGACTTTATTGGTCAGATTGTATCAATATACTGCAGCTATTTTACAGATCAATATATACTTTACATACCCTTCCTGGCAAATTTTAAAACAGTCACGTTTTGGAGAGTCAGAAAGTCTACTATCACAGCACTTGACTTGTCAGCTGAAGGATTYGCAAAACCAGGCTCACACATCCCTAATCGTAAAGAATTCCTTTAAAAGTTATTTATAAAATGACAGCCTCTTTTCTTTCTCATTTCCCTCTGGAAAACCTTGCATTCACAAATTCGAGCTTTTGTCTTCCAGATTTTCAAACATCTCCTGAATCTTTACAATCAGATTGATTCTGTCGTTGAGTTTGAGATGAAGTAAGTCTCTTCTTGATAGCCTTATTTCACTATTCCACCTCAAAGTCCTTATTAAAG